GTGCCAGCATCACATCCATCTGTCTCCGTGACACACACACACACACACACACACACACACACACACACACACACACACACACACACACACACACACACACTCTCTCTCAGGTGGAGAGAGCCATGTGAGAAAGCAGTACTCAGAAAGCTCAAACTCCATCAAAGTGATCTTCTGATATAGCATTGATGTGCAAATATATCACCTCAGACAACAGCTTGCTTTGAGCACGTGTTATCAGATTGTTCTCAGTGAATAATTGGTTTTAAAGTCATCCGTCTGAAGTGAAGGTAAGGTCATATGACCACACAGACAATCAAAGACATTTCCAAAAATGTTGTTTGATTAAAGGAATTTTTGGCAACACTTTCCAACAAAATGAATAGACAAGACATTTGGTTGTTTGGCATTTAAACTATTTAAACTATGAATCCTGACAGGGGCTTATTGTTCAATACTTTATACCTAACTGCAGAGTGTAAATATGTTGGCTGTTTAAAGTTAAATAATACATTTTTGGATGATATTGATTTGCCTTTAGCAACATTATTAAAAAACATAGGCCTACTATTTATACAAATAAGCAATTACACATGTGAACTACAAACCCTGTGTTTTATTTCACTCCTCATTCACTCTGTAGTCCGCGTTTTATCATGGTAATTAGTTACATCCCATAATGCCAGGAATAACAGTTTACTTTATTTGATGAATAATGTGTCTGGGGTTATGTGTGTGTGGACACATCATGGGTTATGCCTACGCTCATGACTCGGAAAACAACTGTACCATCTTTGTTATTACAACATATGGGCCTCAAGGGGAAGTAGTTTCGCTGAAGTCTCGGGTTGTTTGCATTTCTTCTAATTGCCCCCTCATGAAGTAAGCTTCACCCTGAGGCTAAGCGGCATGTGACTCGAAAGAGAGGAGGGGGTGCATGGTAATTTAAGCTTGGGAAAGATTCACTTGGACCTTATTCAATGTGTGTATTCGTTCCTACTTGCAGTCTTCAAAATAGAACCTAGCTGAAATGTGGCAACTTGCAATTATTAGTTTTGTATTGTGTTTTGTACCGTCATATCAACAATTTCCCCGTCTTTGTGCCACCCGGGAAGTGTTGCGCACAAAGGAGTGCTGCCCGCCCTGGGGAGGGGACGGCTCGCCCTGTGGAGCCACCTCGGGCCGGGGCTCCTGCGTGGATGTGGAGGTGCCGGACCGGCCTCACGGGCCGCAGTACCCCTTCTCCGGATTGGACGACAGGGAAAAGTGGCCATTGGTTTTCTTCAACCGGACTTGCCAGTGCACAGGGAACTTCATGGGTTTCAACTGCGCAGACTGTAAGTTCGGATACTTTGGTGTGAACTGCTATGAGAGGAGAGAGTCCGTCAGGAGGAACATATTGCACCTGTCCCGGGCCGAGAAGACCAGGTTTGTTTCTTACCTGAACTTGGTCAAGCAGACGGTCAGCCGGGACTATGTAGTGGTCACCGGGACCTACCAGGAGATGGAAAACGGCTCCAACCCGATGTTTGCTGATGTGTCTGTGTATGATGTGTTTGTGTGGATGCATTACTATGTGTCCCGTAACGCGCTGCTCGGCGGCCCGGGGAATGTGTGGACCGATGTGGATTTTGCCCACTGGGCGCCGGGGTTCCTCCCATGGCACCGTGTGTACCTGCTGCACTGGGAGCATGAGATCAGGAAGCTGACCGGAGACATGAGCTTCACCATCCCGTACTGGGACTGGAGAGATGCCCAGGGATGTGACGTGTGCACAGACGAGCTGATGGGGGACCGGAGCCCTCATGACCCCAGTCTGCTCAGCCCAGGCTCCCTCTTCTCTTCTTGGACGGTAAACCTATTTGAGATATTTCTCCAGTCTGGTTGTGACAACATTTGTTTTGTTCTGTGTTCTCTCCATGTTTCTCCTCTTCCCTTTTTCATGTCTTACAGTAATACAGTTTGAAGATTGTAGTTAATGAATAAGCTATGCCTAAGAGGTATAGTCTACAGATCTCTATCTAACAAACAATGCTCAATAATTAGCCAATGTATACAACGAAAATCACTTGTGTCATAAAAGGGATTCTAAGATGTAAAATATTGCAATGTTAAACTATAGGGAAAAATACAACATATAGATAATATAAATACAATAATATATATTTGTGGTAGACAGCCATTGCAAAAAGTATTGTGATGTAAACAGGGATGTTATTATGCATAAGGAGCTTAAGAGTTAAAAGTGGATAGGCTTTTAAGTGAACTAGTGGATGACTTTTCAGTTAAAGTATTAAAGGTTTTAGTCGTCTAAAGAGTTGGCTTTGATCTTAACACATTTAGACATTTTTGCTTAAAGATCATTACATACTCATTTTTGGTCCATCACAAAATCGATAACTTATTTTTGAATTAATGCACAAAAACATCTGTTTTGATCAAAAGGTTATAACATACTTTGCCTTCCTCCTTCTCGTCTGGAAGCGGGATACTTTGACATCAACCAACCTTATAAAGAACACCTAATATAAGGATCATTTTCAAACTCAGTGTAACCAATTTCAAGAAGCAAAAATATCGTTTGCAACATCCAAGCAATATGACACCTAGTGCCTCCATCAACAGGTGCTGTGCTCCAGAGCAGAGGACTACAGTAACAGGGGTGTGTTGTGTAATGCTGAAAAGGAAGGCCCATTGCGGCGTAACCCTGGAAACCACAACCGTAACGTGGTTGAACGAATACCAACTTCTGCAGAGGTGGAGTTCGCTCTCAGTCTGACCGACTATGATACCGGAGCCATGGACCGCAGTGCCAACATGAGCTTCAGGAACACTCTGGAAGGTCAGATAAGCTTGAGCTCAAACAAACAAATAACAGACACACACCCCCCCCACACACACACAGTAGTGCTAAATAAAGTTCTATTAATTTACATTTTTTGACGTTTACAACATGTTGCCGTCACCTTTGTAAGTGCCAATTAACCGGTAAATACCTGTCCTCTTGCAGGATTCGGGGACTCTCAGACTGGAATAGGGAACAGCCCTCGAAGGGGGTTGCATGCTGCTCTCCATGTGTTCATGAACGGATCCATGTCTTCAGTGCAGGGCTCAGCAAATGACCCCATATTTCTTCTCCACCACGCTTTTGTTGACAGGTGAGACACACACATACGACACACCTTTTATATTTGAGTACACTTTCACACTTGCACTCAACGTCATTTTCTTTGTCTATGGAAGCATTTACGAGCAGTGGCTCAGGAGGTACAGACCGTCTCCATCAGATTTTCCAGACTCTGATGCACCTATAGGGCACAACGGCGACGCCCACATGGTGCCCTTCCTGCCCCTCCACAGACACAGAGACTTCTTCATCTCCAGCAAGGATCTGGGATATGAATATTCATACCTTCTAGATTATAGTAAGTTCAATCTAAACAGAGACTTTCTATTTTCAACATCTATTTGCATTTGAGTACATAGGTTACCGTCATCTCTGTTTTTAAATGTCCCCTGCAACTATAGAGGAAAGATATTGTAAAGGAAAATATAATTCAGGCTTGGTTACATACTCTACTATCCCTGTTTAACTTGAATAAACGTTTCCCTACTTTCCTGGGACTACTTATATCCTTTTTCTTCAGACCAGAGGATAGCAGAATCAATGGGTCCTTACCTGGAGGTGTTGCAGGACGTGTGGCCCTGGCTGCTGATTGCAGGGCTCTGTGGAGGGATTTTAGCAGTGAGCATAGCGGCTGCTGTCCTCACTGCAAAACGGCGATATGGAGGGCCGTCTTGGCAGAACGTGAGGAAGTGGAGAAACGTATTTGCTCTCCCAGAGAGAGAGCCACTTATCAGAGGCAGTGAAGAAACCAAACACCATAACTACCAAACAGCTATCTGAAGGCACAGCCAACCCTGTGCACTGATGCAATTTTAATATCAAAGCACTGTGAATGATATGTTGTATTGGCTTATTGTAATGAGCATTGCAATCTTTGTTACCGGCAATGTATTTAAACTGTATTAAAAGCGTTAAAAAAAAAGAAGCTTGTTATTAAGAGGCATTCATATTCCTCACACAACTTTCTAGCTCATTTCACACATGGTCTGTGCAAGTTATGCTTCCTGTCATGTTAATGTTCCAAAATGACTTTCACATTCATAAGGTTAAATGATTTAAGCTGATTACCATCAAATCAAGGTTCTGCAGGATGGTGGGGGTACCACTTTACAATAAGACTAACCTTATAAAGGATTCATAAAGGATTTCTAATTAGGTTATGAATTAGATTGTAAACACTTTATTAATCATTAAAGGGCCCATGTCATGCTTTTCCGGTTATTACCCATCCCCTTGTGTGTTATGAAGCTTTTTATGCATGTAAACGGTCTGCAGAGTCACAAACCCTCAAAGTACACCCTGTAGCGAGTAAAACTCTAACACAGAAAAGACCTGTCTGTGCTGCCCCAGAACGCCTCGTTGGAGATTTCTCTTTTTCCATTGTTTACTTCTTGGGTATAATGACGTATTTCGGGTATAGAGACGTTACGTTTGGACCAATCCGCCCAGAAACTCCCAGCCAGGCTGCGGGTGTGTGTGTGTGTTTCGCGCTGTGTCTCACCGACGGACACTGGGCTCACAGGGAGAGGGTGGGGTGGGAAGGAGCTCCAACAAGCCATTTAGGACAGAGTGAATACACACACTATACAGAGATGCTGTATGAGAAACTTGGGCTATATAAATAAACATTGATTGATTGATTGATTAAATAGATTTGTTTGTGTTGCGAGACATGCTTTTGGAAAGAGGACAGACATCTTTACATCTGGGACATGTTTTAATATTCCAATCCAGAAAGCGTAGAATAGTAAAAAAAAAATTAGAGGTCACAACTGATGGATTAATAATGCCCCTCCGCAAAACTTGATCTGCTTATACCGTTTCTGAGAAATATTTACATTGGGATGTAATCTATCACACACATCAACCCAATTTCAAAAGTTCAACACAAATGTTTATTTTTGGTAAATTGGTTCTCTAATCATTTTTACCCATACGTCAGCCAAATCTGAGATGTGCTCTCTAGCATAGCATTTTGAACAATACAGTACTTTGCTGAAAAATAATTTGTATTCAATTAGCATTCTCTGATATTACAGTACATTCTCATTATACAAACTGCGCTGTGTTGCTTTAACAAGAACTTAGTTGAATACAGCATTGATCATTTCGAAAGCAAAACTTGTACAAATATACATCAGGTATAATCATGGTAAAAAATACAATTTGTGATGTGAATGAAAGGGGGTAGAAGGAGCACATTTTAATTTGTAAGTTTAAGGGTCCAAATTAGCTGTTGTATTTCTTTTAAACACAACTTATTCATATCGAACAAGTGTCATGGAGATTAACATTTCCTGCTTAGACTACATGGAGCCGCTTCATTGTCATGGGAACATATCTATGAGCACTGCATTCAGTCAGAAGTGATTCTGGTGGACAAACAATGCAATCATTAAATATACGAAATGATAGGATGGATGAAACTTTTAACATACATTGTGGGAATAGAGAACTGTGGTCCTTTAGGATGACTTAAGCATAGTCACACCCGACTCTTATCTTATTGGGTGGTAGTAATCCCCAGGGAATTTCAGTGCAATTACCAAGTGTAACCCTTAACCTTTAGTGGAAACATTTTGTAAACAAATGTTGTAGATTCCCAAGCATTCCAACATCTATATTGAGCAGTACAAAGGACAACAACTCAAGAAGAACTAGCAAAATCAAGTTTGTTGACAAATAAGAATGAAACGGGAACGCTGTTGAAGAGCAGAGGCCAATAGTCCATGACAGCAAAAGAGGCGACTCTTTAGAGAGGTAAGGAATGAACTGTGTGGCCTTGGATTCAGCTAAAAGGTACGCACCATGTTTGTCATTGAATACCTCATCATTCATCATCTTCCTCCTCGCTATCAGTCTCCTCTTTTTCCTTTATTTCCTCTTTGGGTGGGGCCGGTGGAGGAAGGTCAAGGCGTGCCCATGTCAAGGGCTCGGATTTCTTCATGGCTATCTCGATTTTGGCGGCCATCATGTTCACTACGCTTTTACTCACGTCTATAACCTAAAAGAAAACAAGGACATGTAACAGATATGCTTGCTGCTTCGACATAGGGTGATCACAGATACACTGAACGGAGCTCTGAGGAGTGTTAAAACCGGTGGAATACACACAGGAGGAATTGTATTTTTAAAGTACTGCTCCTTTGAAGCCTGACAGCAAAGATTTCTATTGATAATCAGTGGTATATATATATATACATATAAATATGACATATATTCATGCATGAAACTATGATGTATTGCTGTATGTGCAATGCTGTACAAAAAAAAGGGTATGTATTCAAACCAGCATATATCAAAGGTCATGGGAAGTAATGCTGTACTTACTCCCCACAAGTTGATTTTCTGCAAAAATTCCTTCTCTCCCTCAAATATAACATGGATGTCGATCTGAAGGAGAAAACATAAATAAACATTAGGTTGAGAAGACCACAAAAACAAAAACAAGCTATGGACAGAAATCATATTGTAGTCTCTACAATATGATAATCCCTCACCGTGGTGCTGTTAGCCTCCACGTAGCTCAGCTCTGGGATGCCATTCTTGGCGTAGATGGAGACGATGACCTGCATCCCCGTCTGGTGCCAGTCAAACCGACATGGAACCACTTTGTTACCCTGCGTGGAGATTTCACAACATTTGAAACAAAGTCAAGCTGAACCAAAAAGCAGTGTCTCCATCATGCAAGTGTTTACCACACACCACTAGATGGAGTCACAGCTGAGGCTCTCTCATAAGGACATACACACGTGAATGATCACTTGCTGTCAAACCGGCACCTACCTCATCTTTTTTCCTCCATAGATGTTCTCCCGTGGTACAGCCCTCTTGAGAGAGGAAGGTGTTAAAGTCGGAGGTTTTCCTCTTACAGCAGCTCCAGTATTTCATCCTGAAGATGCAGGAATAGACACCCGTTGGGTTTTTAGCTGTCAATTACTTGTCGCTCAAGAGAAAAAGTGAAAAAGACTAACAAGAAGACAACAGGAAAATACTAGTGTTAATCCTCATGCTTCTTTTACAGTTTCGAGAGAATGTGTGACCTGCTCCAACGAAATCAGTCGCATTGACCCGAAGACACATTTTGAGTTGTATACACTGTTGGAAAGAGGAGATTCCCAGCTTTCTAATGATATCAGGATTGTTGTTTTACTCCCAATATTAAGCAAAATATGTCACATTATATAATGACTGTTACAGAGTCATCATTTTGAGAAAAAAGGCCTTCAAAGTTTCCTCTTCTCTGGATCGATCTGATTGATTATTAGCGGAGCAAATTATCAAAATAGTACGGAGGGAAGATATTTTCGTTTGGATTACTGGTCTGGGGGAAGCTCGCGAGTGTGTGTGTGTGTGTTCGTGTGTGTGTGTATACGTGTGTGTGTTTGTGTAATTTTGCGTTTGTGCGTATTGTGTTTGTTTCCCGGGGAAAACACTCACGAGAAACACCGGCTGTTGTTATGCCTGCTGTGACCTCAAGTTACTCCGTTCTCCGCTTGTAATTATGCCGTCACAAGCTTCAAAGTTGTATTTATCATCTGAATTTGCCGAAACAAGTTTAATATTCTGAAAGCCAAGACTTTGTTTATTTGGAATCAGATGAAAACAAACTGTAACGGAGCCTGTCGTGTTATCTATGATCACTCTACGCCTTTCATTCACAATGTCAGCGGGAGGGAGGGGGGCGGCGCTGCGGAACAGCAGAGTGCGAGTTAGAGCCGTCATCTTCCCTTTACAAGCTTCAAACATGTATTTATCGTGTGATTTTGGAAATAAAAGTTTCCTATTCTGAAAGCCAAGACTTTGTTTATTTAAAATCAAACAAAACACCCGAACCCCGAAAAAATAGTTTTTTTACGCAAATCCACGTTTATTTTGAAATGAGCCGTGGCGGCTTCCGACTGATTTCGATAGAGCGGGTCACAAATGTACTATTCCATGTCAATACAGTAAAATGCTGTGATGGAAATGTTTTTCAGTGATACTAACCCTTCATGGAAGATAGGAAATCCCGAGTGGTATGAGCACTCTTCCGAATCGCTTGCAGGTCCGTCAAAACTCTAAAGACGACAACAAAAGTATTAAGCAGATTGCTATTGTTGACACAAATAAAAATAGGGCTTGGTTGTATAGCAAATATAGTTATGGGATGTAGTTGTACAGTATTTTGTTTTCCAATGAAAAGTTTCAATGTCCTGATTTGACCTCTACAAAGACCCTTACTGACTTATCAACTATAGGCAGGCGCCCCTTGGGAGAACATCTCATGGCTTTCAATCACATCAGTTGAAGCACAATTTATGTAAATCATTAAATTCATGCTCCAAGCTTTTGTAAAAGATGTTAATGCAACTTTACTTAAAATGCATGTTCTAAATGTGTGGTTTCTGCTTTGACAGAACAGATTAGCTTGAGCAAACACGGAAGACAGTTTTTTTTTTTTAAATCAATTTTGCCTTAGCTTATTTGACATGACATAATTCATCATGATTCGTTTATGTTTTCATGATGCAAATTACAATTAGTTTTCAAATCAAGAAATGCGGAAACTTTATTTAACAGAATCCACAGTTTTAGCATGAAGCCAAATAACTTGAAACGTTTGAGCTGCTGTTGCCAAATCCCTACAGAGGTATGTATACAAAATCGTTTTTTATTTACACATTATTTTACCTTTATTTAACCAGGATAGGTCTCATTGAGATTACAAATCACTTTTTCAAGAGAGTCCTGGCCCAAGAAACAGTTACAGACAATTTTACAGTTACACACAATCACAACACAGAACACACCAAGTTTAGCCAAAGCATTAACGGACACAGCGGCCTGCTTCAAGGTTGCTTTGCGTGTGTTTAACGAGACCAGCTCTCTGAGTTTCAGCTCAGTTTGAAGCAGGTTCCAAGCTTGAGGGGCAGCGTAACTGAACGCCCTTTTCTCCAGTTCAGTACGGACCTTTGGTACAGTTCAAAGGAAAAAGTTCTCGCAGCAAAGCCGATAAGATCCTGTACATTTTCTGTTTATGTACATCCTTAGATAAGGGGGAAGAGCACCAACAATAGCCTTATATATAAGGATGTGCCAATGTTTCAGTCTACGCGTGGTCAGGGAAGACCATCCAACACGAGTGTATAGATTGCAGTGGTGCGTCAAGGTTTTGAGGTTTGTGATGAATCTCAGTGGTAGATGGTATCCAGCGAGCGAAGGCACTGAGGAGATGCATTCATATAAACCACATCTCCATAAAGCAGCACAGACAGAAAGGTTGCAGAAACTAGTCTCTTTTTGGCCTCATAGGAAAAACAGGACTTGTTTCTAAAGAAAACCTAATTTTATTCTTAATTATTTCAAGAGTTCCACAATGTGTGGTTTAAAAGAAAGCGAATTGTCAATTGTAATTCCAAGATACTTATACTGCAACACAGATTCAGCCTCCGACCCATGCAAGGTGGTGATAGGAGGAAGGTTCAAGACCTTGGGTTTTGTTTTCGAGAACATAATTTGCTTTGTCTTGGCAGCATTTCAAAGTTTCAAATCACTCATGTTGGATTGTACAATGTTTAACACCATGATCATTTATACCATTTTCCTCCTCTGTACATCAAAACATTCACTTACTTTAGTACATCCTGCATTCTTACAGGATGTTCCAATCTTGATCTCGTCATTATCTTCCTCTAGAAAGACAGAGAGAGAAAGAGAGACAACAAATTGACTTTGATGCTTTGAAGAGGTTTCAAAAAGTGCATCCACAGTTGTGATTTGTTGTCCCTGCCAGCTTTAACTCGAACGCCACAATGTGAAAGACACAGGTCAGGGCAAATTCCCACAGAACATCCATTAACTTCCCCTGTCAACATGACCTTCCTGTCTACTGTAACAAGAAGCCTATGGTAATGGATGGTAGTCTGCAGTAAACGGGCTCAGAATCACAGAATGATGAGATAACAAGAGAAAGAGGTTAAGGTGAAGTTCAGTTCTTACCTTTCTTCTCTTCTGCATTTTCAGTAAGCTTCAGTTTCTCCAAAGCCTGCTTCAGAGAAGAAGAGACTTTGTGCGGCATCCTCCCCATCGGCTCATCAGCACTGTAACAGTAACACATTTATTAGGTCGGACACATTAACAACAAACTTGGGCAGTGTTTCCGCCAGACCAGGGCTGAGAGGGCCTCCACCCCGAGAGCGGGGGTGGGGGGCGTCCCTTATAGATACTATCTCCAGTGTTTCCCATACATTGATTTATTTCTAAAAATAAATATCGTCCGCCACAAATGGATATCATAAAAAAAAAAAGTATTATTATTATTTTTTTTTTGGTGGTCTAATGGATAGTGAGGTGGGCTGATGATCGGAAAGTTGCGAGTTCAAATCCTGCCTGGAACACCACTACTAGTGTGCCCTTGAGTAAGGCACTTACCCCTCGGTTACTCCAGGGAGAATGTCCCTGTAATTGGTCATTGTAAGTCGCTTTGGAATAAGGCGTCTGCTAAATGCCTAAATTGTAAATGATATTTTTGGGAGAATAAACCCCACAGATCCTCAACTCTGGTGTGTTTCACTCATTAACAACGCAACACAGAGCAACAGGAACGTTGTCTACAGTAGCCATGAACTCGCATAGAATCAAATTCTGTGGGAAACACAGAATTCTCTTTACGTATTAGTGATGGGAATTCCGGTTCTTTTTAGTGAGCCGGATCATTTGGCTCGGCTCACCAAGAAGAGCCGGCTCTTTCGGCTCCTAATTTTACCACAATTTACCACGGAGCCGCTACGAGGCTCCGGCGCTCACAGTTCACCCGCGTGCTCCACTAGCACCCCCCTTGTCAAGGCTCGCCGGCAGTACACTTTACGTCACAGGAACAAGCTTTGCTGGCAGCGAAAATAATCCCACCAGACTCCTTTGCCCCTCCAACAGAGGGATGTCCTTGTCCCTTTTCGTCATTTCAAGCGATAAAAACTCTCAATCTTCTCTCGAATTATTATTATTTTTTGGACGCCCTCGGCTCAATTTCAGGGCGTTCCGAGCTGAATAAGGGCAAATGACGGCAAGACGCCCCCTTGCGGAACAGCTGAACTTGGGCCAAAGGTGTTTCTTATTATTTTATGATTGGGGTAATGTAATTTATAAAGGTTACATTATCAGTAGCCCTCTTCAAAATGAGGTCTCTGGTACGAAGACCAACACAAAACTTGAAAGTAGTTTAACTATTTATTCAGTCATATAATCGCTTATTCAATCCTAGCGAGAAGTATGCATGGTCAAAGAGCAGAGAGGGCGCCTCTGACTATCCTGTGGATCATTAGAATTCAGGCTGGTTTAATACCTATAATGCTACCCATCCTTTTATGCATTTGAGTCACTTGACAAACAAAAATTAAATTGCTGCTATTATCACTGTGGAAAGTATAAGAATATTAGCAATGAGGAGGTTTCTGAGCAGTTTCCAGAACAAAAGTCCTCGCCATTCAATCGCCAGGCAATGTAATGCTTAAATAAATTACAGCACAGATTTGACTAGGGAGTTCTCCAAGATCTCGGTGTCTTTATGTGGTACTTTACAGGGATTTAGAGTTAAACTGAAAGCCCTGCTGGTCTACTAAATAGAAAATAAACGTGTCCTTCTTGTCATGTTCTTGTCTTATAAGAGTTTCTTGCACAGATAATAAGAGCTTAGGGTATTCCCATGATATTGATTACAATAGAAAAAGCTATGTATGTTGGCAAACTGTGATACCTTGGTCTGCGTATCGACTCATGAGGCTTTGGTGCGGAAATGATGAACTCATTGAACTTTGGGTCGTCTATATCTTTCTTTTCTCCTGACGATGTCACATCTGGTTTCTCCGGCTCAGGGGGCTTCTCCTTGTTGTGGGGACTGTTTGTACAGCCCTGTGGAGGAGACAGTCACAAACAATGAGTGCTCGGGACAATGTGGCCACAGCAAAGGTGGAAGTCAACGCTTGTGAAAACGGAGGCAATGGAAACATGTCCATGGAGGATTTAAAGTATGGATTCAATCTGAGACTTTTAAACTTACAACAATGTTGAGAAAGTCTGAGAAGTCAGTGGTTCTTTTCTTGCAGCAGGACCATCCCTGGAGGAAGTCAGACAGACATTACATTGGACCATACACTAAAACACAAGGAATCTGTGCATTTTCAACGGTTTTACCTTCAATGCATCATGGAATACTGGGATTCCTGGATGATGGGTGCAGCCATCTGTGAGGTGAAACACAGCTTTGATTAAATGAAGCTCAGCGCAAGTTCTTTCAGGAAGACTGGGTATTAGAGATGTCCCGATCCGATCACGTGATCGGAGCCGATCACGTGATTTTCAAAAGATCGGAATCGGGAGAAAAAAAATCGGGGATCGGGATTCTTTT